TATTGTTAAGTAATTTTGGATAAGTTGATTTCCGATGCTTGAATACGATACAGCCGCAAGTGCTATCCAGCTTTCAATAGATATTCTAAAACCAGAATAAAGTAGAGACAGCGTGAGTTATCGTTTCAGGGAATACTACTTTGTCTCCACGACTACTTTTTCTGTCTTGTCACCATTCCTGATTGATTTTAATCGACTGACACAACAGTGTCTTGTGCACCCTCTCTTTACTCTTTTAATCAATTACCGTCACTGGCGTTATGATTACGTATCAATTTATCACTATTCTAAGCCTTATCACCCTTACTTTGTTTACCGGATGGAGGGGAACTGCTTAGGTGAAACCAATCCGAATGTCTTCAATGTTCTCTTAGTTATATGTGTCTTAATATCTTCATCTATTTTCAGCACGTCTTTGTAATTTGGCTCTCCTGATATGGATGAAAGTTTGAAGAGAGCTGCACAAGAAGGGAATATTGTTGAATTATATGCATCAATCCAAAGAGATGGAAATGTTTTGAGGCTGATTGATGAGATGGAGTTCGTTGACACTCCATTACACGTAGCTGCAGCTGAAGGGTGCTTTGATTTTGCCATGGAGGTAATGATCTTAAAGCCGTCATTCGCTAGGAAACTAAACCAAGAAGGCTTAAGCCCCATTCACCTCGCAGTGGAAAAGGGGCATAAAGAGCTGGCGCTACAACTCATGCAAAGTGATAAAAATCTTGTCCGTGTCAAAGGAAGGCTGGGTGAGACTCCTTTGCACTATGCAGTAACTGGAGCAGAAAACCTTGATCTCTTGGCCAGATTTCTAGAGGCTTGCCCTGAATGCATCCTAGATATGGCAACTACAAACCAGACTGCTTTGCACATTGCAACGAGAAACGATAACTTAGAAGCTCTTGAACTCCTATGTCGGATGCTTAGGAAGAGTGGCTATTGTGAGGATGTGGTGAACCAGAAAGACAGGAATGGCGACACTGCCTTGCACATAGCTGCACGCAATAATCAACCCCAGGTCCGATCTCTTCCCCTTTTAATTATTTTTACTTTTACCAAAAAAGAATGGAATAATTCTTTAAATTGGGATTGTATTTCACGGTCAATTGATTGTGGCTTTTGTTTGTCTTAAACTCTCTATCAAACAGATGCTCAAACTGCTATTAAAATGCAAGGCTGATAAGCTTGCAAACAATCAGGCCGGTAGGACGGCACTGGCTATTGCCTGCGAACTTAATAACAGAGAGAGCATTAAGATTCTGCGTGGTTGGCTAAGTGCAAAAGTTTTAAGCTATCAATATAAGATTCGGAAAAAAATGTTTAAGACTGTGACAAAGGCATCAGAAGTAATTTTTCAAGGTATGGATAGTATATCAAGCGAGGATCGCAATGCCTTACTAGTAGTTTTAGGTTTGCTTCTAACAGCTACCTACCAAGCTAGTATTAGCCCGCCGGGTAGTGTTACGCAAGGTAATGGCTCCTCAAACTCCGATTCCCTTGCAGGCAAATCAGTCATGGATCAAGTCTCTTTTCTTCTTTTCTATATTCCAGCCTGTACTGTCTTCATAGTAGCGTTTTTCCTAACGTTGGGCCTCCTTACACCTTTCCCCCATGGTTTCAAGACTGCTCTTCAAGTACTACTTGCATTTCTTGCAATATCTTTCAACCAAGCAATAGGTTTCATAGCACCAACTGAATTAGCGATTCTAGTAATCAGTTTGTTTTCAGTGTTGGTTTTTGTTTTAATGATGGTCATGTGTGTTGCTTACCGGGTATCAAAAGTTAGCGTTTTATTTCTAGGATGCTGGTTAGTGATTGGTCTGTATGGCCCATTTCAGATAGGATCCTATTTAATTTTAGGGTGTTGGTTAGTTCTTAGTCTATATGATCCATTCTGGATAGGATCCGCTGGAATTGTAGGATGCATTTTAGTACTAAATCTGTTTGAATTCGCCTCGACGGTAGGTGTTATAGTGTCAGTACCCATGGGATTACTTGCTTTGTTTCTATTGTGGTTAGAAGTAGTGCAATGAGAACGTTGGTTGACATCGCATCCCTCAAGGTATACGGACACCTAATGTTGAATGAGGATCTAAACGATGGCTGCCCCAGCATCTTGATATTTTCTATTCCTGGTTTTGTATCTTATTTGTTGTATCATGATGTACCACCCATAAATTCAATTCCTCCTGCATAAAATCATCTCTACTTTTTAGTTTCTCTTTTTGTTGTACTTTATTCTGCTTATAATTTGTGCTGATATGTTATTAATACTCTTTTTGTTTTAAATTAAACTTTAGGCTTTCACTTATCATAAAAATTTCAAAAAAAAATGATGATATTAGCATTTATTGTAAATTATTTTGTGTATAGTATTTTTGTTTTAAAATTATGATTTCATTGAGAATGCGATAACTCTCCCGAGGAAAAACAAAAATGGGGGTGTTCCAAGCCTTGAAGCTTTCTGTCAAGCATAATGGCTTAAAAACACTGCCCTGCATTTACAAAGAAAGACTAACAGCAGAGCCTGAAGAAAAGGACAAGTCTGGGTTCCCCATACTGAAATAAAGTATTTGACCCTATTGAAAAGGACTTTTAGGTTGTAACTTGAAATAAACATTTATCTGTAGAGAAATAAAATATTCATTTATTCTTATAGAACACTTAGGAACAAGAAGATTGACTCACGAACAGCGACAATGGCAGTTTAAAAATATAATCAATAAAGAATTTTGGTCAAAACCGAGTATCATTACCATTTCTGCGCAGAAAGTTTCTTTTACAAAGACAACTCCACCAATCAGGCAAGCAATATAGTACGTACAAGCAGATTTGGTCTCACAAAGGCGGAGGAGCACTTGCGCGTTTGATCAAATTAGGCAACTTTTCTTACTTGGACAATTTCCTTGGACCTTCAAGGAGCACCTTATATATTGTTTGTTTACTAATTATGAATATCAAACTTTTGAAACACATAGTCTGCGTGACCATTCTCTCAATTACCTTTTGTTTATAGCTCTTGTTATCCTTGTCAGTATTCTCAAGGTGGATGAGCGTCACGAGAGGCTGCGAGGGGCTGCTCAAGCAGGAAATATCGATGCATTATATGCATTAATTCGAGAAGACGCATATCTTTTGGATGGCATTGATCAGATACCATTCTTTGATACCCCACTACACACAGCTGCAGCTGCGGGGCACACTGATTTTTCCATGGAGGTAATGAACTTGAAGCCATCTCTAGCTTTAAAGCTGAACCATGATGGCTTTAGCCCTATCCACCTTGCCTTGCAAAATGGGCAAAAAGAGACTGTCCTCAATCTCCTGGGAATGGATAAAGATCTTGTTCGTGTCAAAGGAAAGGAGGGTAAAACTCCTTTGCACTACGTAGTTGGAGAAGCGGACCTTAGTCTTGTACTCACATTTCTCTTGTGTTGTCCTGAATGCATCAGAGATGTGACAAATCAAAATGAGACTGCTTTGCACATTGCAGCGCAAAAGAACCTACTGGAAGCTCTTCAAGTCCCCGTAGGTTGGCTCCGGAGTACACACGATAAAGATGGAAAATTATGGGAAAAAGAAGTCCTGAATTGGAAGAACAAGGAAGGCGATACTGTGCTGCACATTGCGGTATCCAATAATCAACTGCAGGCACGATCCCATCCGTGCTCTTTTTTAAACTAATTATTGAAACAGACATCTAATTTGTTTTTATGCGTTTTATTAGTTAATTAATTGTTTCCTCTATGTATATTTTAATCATTTTTACAGATGGTAGAACTTTTACTAGATTGTGGGATCGAGAAGAACGCCATGAATTGGAGAGGGTTGACAGCAATGGATATCGTACAGGGCCAAAGCCGAGTCGACAACAAAAGGACTTTGGAAGTTCTGCGCTATTTTGGGTGTTCGAATGCTTCCTCAATCCACACTAATTCCACCTTAGTTGAGTTGTTAAGATCAAAGATCTCGTTTTCTGAAAGATCGAATATAGTTATGAGCCGGATGAGGAAAAACATATCAAATGGCACTCGCGACGCATTACTGGTAGTGCTTGGTCTAATTTTAACTACCACCTACGAATCTGCTGTTAATCCGCCTTATGATCTTTTTCAATCAGATCTTCCCCAGCAAATAATCCCTCAAGATGCAGGGGGACAATGGGTTTCTCCGAACGATGGTATTATGGCCGCTCTTGATCCGCTTGCTCTGTCTTTCTCTATCTTCAATGCCGTTAATTTCTTGGTAACACTTTTAGTGACACTTTTTATCCTCCCTTGGGTTCCTTATGCTCAGCTGCTTCACGTCCCATTGCTGCTAATATTTATCTTCTTCGTGGCGTCAATGGGTTTGTCGCTTGCATTGATGACTTCCGTTATTGGGATTGGTGTGTTTTGTTCTTTAGTAGTTATCACAACAATCCTAGGGATATTCATTGTCATGAATAAAGTTAGAAGCAGGAAGGTTTACACAGACTGCATCAAGGAAGTTGGTGACAGGGTACGTCTGCACAGGCACGAGCACGACGACATTAAAAAGAAGTAAACTGGTTTTTTGGAGGCTTCTCTGTGCACTAAATTTAAAAAAAAAACAATATTAAAAGGACTAAAATAAAAACATTTTTCTAAATTTCAATGCAAGTTAAATGTGGACATTCAATAAAATTGAGGGAGTATCTTATATTAATACATCGAAATATTTAGAGAATTTTGTGGCACAGATTTTTGCTTCGGCTGCCAAGAATTTGTGCATGAGAGAAAACTAGTTCTCTTTTTGTTAGGGTAAGCACAATAGGTCCCATGTTCAGTGATGCTACCAAAATCTTATTGAGTAGCTGGTTTATTTTGGCAATTGTACAGGTTCTTTCACCTTCACCAATCATTTATGTCATGAGAGTTTTTTGCATTTGGGCTATATACTTGAAATGGTAACTAAACACGGAAACCTTCCGCTTTTTGACTCAATTTCTGATCATTTGCCCTGAATGTATGGAAGATATAATGACTCAAAGCGAGACTGCTCTTCACATTGCAGTACAACGCAAGAGATTGGATGCTCTTGAAGTCCTAGCAAAGACTGCATGGTAGCCTTGGAGGACCTTTCGTGACAATAGCAAAGTTTTGGAATAGAAGTCCTAAACAAGAAGAACAGTGACGGAAACACAGCACTGCACTTGGCCACATTGAATAATCAACCAGAGGCATGTGTCACGGGCCACATGTCACGGGCCACAGCCCAGACCCGCCAAGAGGCCCAAGAGGGTGCCAGCCCACCAAGATCCATGTAGGGTGCCAGCCCACCAAGACCCATGTAGGGATTTCCCTCCCAAATGAGCTTCTAGAAACCTTAGTTTCCCTCCCAAATGGTTTTGGAGGGAAATCTTTTGGAGGGAAATCCTTTGGAGGGAAAATTTTGGAGGGAAATGGGTGGGGAACCTTGGCTATAAATAACCCCATCCTCCTTGTGTAAATCATCCAACACACTTGTATCTCAATTCATTCAATACAAGCTTAGTTTTTCTCTCTAGCATTCTCTTCCCATTTTTCCTTCCTCGTTTATGCAAGCTTGCTTGTAGGCTTAAAGCCGTTGTGTGGGTGTTGAGTGCTTGTTGGGCGAGTGCTGAAGCACTAAGGCTGACTTGGGTTCTAAGTGCCGAGATAAGGGTTGAGCCCAAGGCCGCACGGAAGGTGGTCTTAAGTATCGCCCCGTGACACATGCATGATCTCACATCATCTTTTTCTTTTCTTGGATTATACCATACACTTTCTTTGCCCCAATTCATTTATCTTAATTTGTTTCACATTAATTTAAAAAAAATGTTTTTTTTTTAAAATTTTCTTTTGAACAGATTATGAAACTCTTATTAGAATGTAAAGTTGATAAAAACTCCATAAATTGGGGTGGCTTAACGGCTATGGATATCTTACACGATCACAGGCAAGTTGACAATAAAGAGTGTAAAGAGATTTTACGCCGTGCTAGAGGCTTAAAGGCTTCCTCAATCCCTCAAGCTCCACCCTTAGAAGTTAAGATCGAAACAGACATTTCATGAAAAAGTACTTGGTGAAGCCTTTCGTGAAATTTTTGATATCTTAGTTGAGCAGGGCAATGCTTTGCTAGTGGTATTAGTTTTGATTCTAACAGCTACTTACCAAGCTACTCTTTGTCCACCTGGTGGTTTTGGGCAGGGTAGTGGCGGTGGACCAGTGCCGCCTGTCAGCTGGAGAAATCAATGATGCAGGACCCAACTTCCAATCTTGGAAAATCAATTATGAGCTCAACTTCTTTTCTTCTTTTATTCGTTCCAAATACTATCGTTTTTCTTATAACGACAATCCTAACGCTTGCCTCCTCTTAATTATTGCTAGTGTATCACCATTCTCCTTCAAGTGCCCTTGTTTTTATTATATTTTTGCCTTCTAAGTTTAACATATTGCATTTCACCAACCCCTTTATGTACTTTCATTTTTTTCTCCTTCAACATTTTTCTCTTGGTGCTATGTGTCATAGTACATATGAGAAAACACTTCAGAAAATGGTTTCATAAGCAGGAATGAAAGGGGTGAGATATTAGGCCAAGTAATTGGTTTTTCATTTTTTTTTCTTTGAGCAAGAGCATCATACACCGATCACTGAACGAAAACGTTGGTGTGCTAAGTAATTGGTTGACGGTTAAAAATCTGTGGTATATATTTTACCACATTTTGAAATGGATTAGACAGTGAAAATTAATTGAGGCTTTTCTTAATTTCTCTCTTTTGTACTAGGGAGCCTTTATTATTGACTTATCTTTTTGCAAAGAATGTTAAGAATGCATTAGCTAATGTCTATTTTGTATTTGTTAATTGTATACTAAAGAAGAAATGGTTTGGGCTTCAAATCCCTTTCTCTGGTTCTACAATAACGTCCGTTTCTGTTAATTTCTCTGATTGATTTTTCTTCTTCTGATAATTTTTTCACAATTGAAAGAAATTTTAGCATTCATGTTTTCACCTTATTTCAAATGCACAACAAATTCAAGATAAACCATTTTGGCTTAACAATTTTATAGTTGCCTACTATTGTGTTCTTAATTAAGTTTACTATTTGTATTTACTCAAGGACGAAGCTAGCTAACTTTTAATGAGAGGGCTACAGACAAAAAAAACAAGAGTTAAAAATTTTAAAAATTAATATGCTAAATTTAACCAACAACCAAATGATGGATAACAAAAAATAATTTTATATAACATGAAAATTAAGAAACAAAAAAACTTACAACAATCTTTTAAGAAAGTTATGCTCGATTATGTTTTTTGTATTCAAATTTATCAATTATTGATTATATACTGAAAAACATTAATTTCTTTAAGATTGAGTTGTAGACGTTTTGAATCAGATTGCTCTTATTAATGAATTAAGGCTTGGTGGTTTAAATGTAGGAGAATCATTTGAACAATTCACATATTTTCTTTTAAAGAATTTGTCAATTGTTTTTAACTTATTCATATTTTAATCAAATCTGAAAAAAAATTACTACAGTCAACATCTAACATTCTTATTTTGTTTCTATTTAAATTTATAATACTAAATATAAAATTATAATGTATAAAATATAAATAATTAAATACAATATACAAGTAACGATGCATAGGCTAGTTGTTTTACGCCAATAGAAATCTTTAACAAATAGCTTAGAGATTTAGGATGGCATACCAATTCTAGTGCAAATAAAATTACTTTTCAAAAAAAAAAAAGTGATATATATAAAAGATTAATAATTTCCTCTTATATAATCAGAATTGGTTAAAAAATATATATTCAAAATAATTTCTTTTTTAATTAAATATAAAATGTAATGCACATAAAAAAAGATATACTTAAGTTAATTTCCTTTTACATAATTAAGATTAATAAAAAATATACATTGATAAAATTTTAAATAACAATGCAACACTACAACTTATATTCGAGAATTACATAATAATTCATTAATTTTTAAAGATTAAAATCATAGAAAATAAAATCTACATAAAAAAGTTGAACATTTGGGGAAGAAAATCTATAGAAAGTTAGAGCATATGATCAAATAGAATAAAAATAAAAAACAATATAAATATAAATTTAAAGAAAAAACGAAAAAAAACTTTAAAATTTAGTGAGATATGTGAGATCATTTTGTTATTCTTCATTTGTATTAATTATTAAATAAAAATTTTATTTAATATGAAAAAAATTTTAAAAATTTTGGGCACCTAAGGAGGCTCTGCCCCTGATTTTAGTGGCATCTGCATGTAAAGCCAATAAGTTAGAGACGAGAATGTATAGCTTTTTGGTATATACAATTTGTTCGTTCGGAATCGTTATGAATAGAATAGATCAATCTTCCAATTGATTCGTCTGAGAAGTGTACGAGGAGTATTATTCCCATCACTGACAAGATTCCACTGGAATCAATTCATAAAAAGATAGATGTTTCTTCGTAGGCAGCCGTCTCTCCTTGTAACCTTCGTCAGAGTCGTTTCGTTTGCTCTTAACTGCTACAAATATGAGAAGTGCCTTTGATTATTTTCATTTTTATTTATCTCACAATGAAGAGGTTGAAGAGGGTTGCTCGGGCTGGAAATATTGATGAATTGTATACATTAATTGGGAGGGATGCATATATTTTAGAGCGTGTTGATCAGATGCCTTTTTCTGACACTCCTTTACACATAGCTTCAGCTGCAGGGCACATTGATTTTGCGATGGAGATAATGAATTTAAAGCCATCATTTGCAAGAAAGCTGAATCAAGATGGCTTTAGCCCCATTCACTTGGCCTTGCAGCAAGGGCAGACAGCGATGGTGCTTCGTCTATTGGTAATTGATAAAGATCTTGTCCGTGTTAAGGGGAGGGAAGGAAAAACTCCTTTGCATTACGTAGCTAGCGAAGGAAACCTCAGTCTTTTGGCTCAATTTCTACTACGTTGTCCTAAATGTATTCAAGATGTGACAATCCGAAATGAAACTGCTTTGCACATTGTGGCAGAAAACGATAACTTAAGAGCTCTACGAGTCTTACTGCAGTCACTTAAGAGGACTAACCTTTATGGTAAATCGTCAGAAAAAAGGCTTTTGAATTTCAGGGATAAGGATGGCAACACTGTGTTGCACATAGCTGCTTCCAAGAATCAACCCCAGGTATAATGTTAAATACCCTAATTTCTTTCGTTGTATTTTGAGTAGAGGTCAGATCATGTACTAATATAGCAATTCTACCTATTAAGTACCCTGCATTAATTTCTTTGTGTACACTGTATTGATCATATAAATAACATCTGTAGCATAACCCTCTCGGCTTAAAAGCAATACACCAGAGACAAACACACCCTGCCATCGTCAACTTGCATCACAAGAGTAAACCCCCAATTACATCATGCATCTAATCCCCCGAAAGTCCCCCCAGGAATAAACAGAGTCCAACACAGTATACCATACAGCCCCAGTCACAGGCCTCCCAAATAACCACCAGCAAAAAAGTAAAAAAATAAAACAAAAACAAACAAACAAACAAAAGACAGTCCCAATGTATATTATCATAAATAGTCCAACGCTCCACACACATAGTAGGTAATCCAACACAGGCAGATCCTAATGCACATGTCAACAAAATAAGCTTCCAGACCTCAACCTGCACACAGATGAATTTATATGATCAATACAAACATTTATAAGTTGTTACTTGTTATCCTAAAAGTATAGCTTAGTTCATAAAGCTATAGTGTTTTTTTATGTCAATTTAATTTGGTTTTATAAATATTTGTTATGCAGATGGTCAAACTATTGATAGAATGTAGGGTTAGTATAAACAAGACCAATTCAAGGGGTTTGACAGCTCTGGATATCTTAGAAAGCATGAGCAATGTTGACAACAGAGACAGTCTGGAGATTCTACGCGATTTTGGAGGCTTGAATGGTTCCGCGACTCCTAGACCGCCACCCTTACACGTGATGTTAGGATCAAAGATCACACTTCTTGAAAACGCATTTGGTGAAGTGTTTCATGATATTATCACTATGTCAGCTGATAGAAGCAATGCATTGCTAGTAGTATTAGTACTGATTTTAACAGCAACTTACCAGGCCGCTCTCACCCCCCCCTTTCCTTTTTCTGGGGCTTCTACCGGCTCTGACTCTGCAAATAACACTTCCACCGATTCCACTGTGAGGAAATCAGTGATGGCATCAACTGCTTTTCTTCTCTTCTACATCCCAAACACTATAGCTTTTATCATTGCAATGATCCTAACACTTGGCCTTCTTGCAATTGTTGCCAGTGGCATCACTACTCTTCTTCTAGTGCCGCTACTTTTATTATATTTTTGCCTCCTGATTTCTACATATGATATGTCTCCAGCATCTGGCCGTATTGTTCTTTGGTTTTGTTTCCTTATTAGTTTACCGGTAGCGCTGAGAGTCATAGACCGAATAAAAAGACTTGGGAAACATTTGATTCAGAAGGAGGTACCACGACCTTAATAGTTGAGACATATACACCAGGAAAGTATTTGGTTGAAGCATTAGAAATCCAAGTATCAATGCGATGGATTAAATGGATCGCCAGCGAGAATTCCCTCTCCTTGTTTGTCTCACTCGTTTTGGGGACCTTGTATTTGAGGATTTTATTTTAATAATTAAAAACTGTTTGACTTCATCCTTGTTGGCTCCTACTATTTCCTTGTATACGTTATTCTCTATTGATTTTCATTCATTTTGGATAGTAATATGATTGTTTTCCGGACTTCAAAAACAAAATTCATATATACAATCATACCTGATTCTACTCAATTATTGCTAATTGTATCACCACTCTCTTTAAGCACCCTTATTTTTATTATATTTTTGCCTTCTAAGTTCAACGTATTACATTTCACCAACCCCTTTATGTACTTTCATTTTTTTCTCCTTTAACATTTTTCTCTTGGTGCTATGTGTCAATGTGCCTACGAGAAAACACTTCAGAAAATAAATTAGATAGTGAAAATTAATTAGGCTTTTCTTTTTTTTTTTGAAAGGTGGATTTTATTAGCCATACAACTGATATGCCATTGTTAGTCTCAAGCTAAAGTTGCAAGAAACTCCACTTATCATGAAATCTAGTTTGGCTGAAAGATAAACTATACAAAGATGGGCACACTGCTTACAAAAATTGGCAGTTGCCCCACACATGACCAACCTAATAAAAGAGGTTCAAAGCTGCCTAAACTTAGAGCTAGCAATAGGCAAACAAAGTAGCAAACTAAAGTATCCTCCTAAAATGTCAGGAATCTAGCTGTCAAAAGCAAAAACAAAGTGAAGATACATCTTAGTCAAAAACCAAGAATGCTCTCAACAAAAGGAAAAACTCAAGATTCTTTGAAATCTTGAGATCCTCCTAGTTAAAATCTGAAACAAGTTTGAAGAAACTCAAGCACATGAGAATCCCCTCCCACGAAACCATTAACAATCGACCAGCTCAACCATGGACGCTAGCAGAAGGGCGTCCACATGCATCAAAGCTTGGCTGCATCACCCTTGAACCATGAACAGCAACACAACGCAAGCATGGAGAGCTAGCGATAACGCAAAATCAGTAAGACCTCAAAAGCAAGACAGGACGAAAGATCCACAAGGCCAGATCCCAGCTGTTCAACCAACAAGCTGGCTTAACAACGCGGTTGAGTTCAACCGAAGCCAACATGCAAAAGATGCCAAGGAAGGAAGCCCCTTTGACCTCAACAACATAACAAGAACTTGAGTGGAAATGATCCCTCAATCAATCATCAAGACTACAACACAAAATATTGGTCAACTCAAAAAAAAAGAAAAAGCACTACCCCAGCCCTCTTTCCCTCTTTGGTACTTGTGAGCCTTTCTGATTGACGTAGAATGCGTAGTAGATAATTTCTGAGCAAGTTGAGTGTCAGAAGCCAAAACAAAAGAGCAAATGTCATAAATGAGTATATTTATAATTTTAATATTTTCTTTATTTAAGTTAAGAGTCTTACATAGGAATTATAGTTATAATAGAATTTCTCTTTTATTTAATCTACTTGTATTAGGACTTTAGGATAATCAAGTCTTAATTAAGAATAGAACATTTATTTATTTAAATCTTTTGTTAACTACTCCAGTTGTACTAGACATCCAGAAGTAGAGTTTTGTTAAAACTTGTGCTTATAATGCTATAAATAGGACCATTAAGCTTAGTGTTTTGAATCATGAAATAATATTACAAATTTCTTTTCTCAAACTTGAGTTTAAGCTTCAATATTTGAAACCTGGTGATTAATCTTAAAGGTTTAATCTGGTGCTAGTATTTGTTTTCACGCTAACTCGCTATGATAGTTGATATCAAAGTGGAAAAAACTCACCGATCTAATAGTAGGTGACCTAGCTATGGTAGGTAGTAGTTCTCATGGTAACAATGAGGAAATTGAGACCTTGTGATCTGTAGTGCAAGATCAAGGGGTGGCATCGAGAGTTTTGGAACAGTGAATAGATCTCAGATTTTGACGTTTGGAATGATGCTTTTAAGAAATCACATATCAACTTGATGCTTTAGGCATAGATGCCAACAGAAACCAAAATGATGAAAGATCACACACCAGGGATGATGTAGCTCGGGGACAGCTTGTCGGTAAACCTGTTCCTACAAACGAGTACAGACAACAAGTCTATATGGAAGATTTAAACAAGGAAAATGATTATTTTGTAGAACCTATGAGGTACATTAGATATGAAAGGAATAATTATGTTGGTCGAGATACCCACGATTTCAAATTAAAAATAGATATTCCTTACTTTAATGGGAGTTTAAATATTAAAGATTTTCTAAATTGGATAGCGAAAATAGATAGATTTTTTGAATATATGGAGATTTTAGAAGGAAAAAAGGGTGACATTTGTCGCTTATAGGTTGAAAGGTGGGGCTTTTGCATGGTGGGAAAGGTTACAGCCTAGAAGAAATCATGAGAAAAAACACTAGTTAGAACCTGGTACAGGATAAAGTAATTGTTATATAAGGATTTTCTTCTTCTTGATTATGAGCAGATTTTATTTCAGTAGTACTTGAGGTGCCATCAAGGTCAGAAAACTATATATGAGTATATTGCAGAACTTATAAAACTGGCAAAGAGGAATGACTTGAAAGAGACCAAGGGACAAGAGGTTGCTAGGTATCCAAAGGGGTTGAAGCTAGTTATTAAAGACAAGATGGGGGTATAAGTATTACGAACTTTATTTAAAGCATGAAATATTGCCTTAAAGGCTGAACTAATGTTGCAGGAAAAGAACAAACTTGATTATGCTCTTAAGCATTATAGTGGGGATAATGATTAAACATCCAACGAAAAGAATAAATCAGTTCATAATAGTTCTACGTGCAATGACTAATACATGGAAGAAAATGTAGTTGGAAAGCAGAAAGTGGTAGATGTGAAAGAAGGGTAGAAAGTTACCAATCCCTATGCTAAACCAATTCCAAGAAAGTGTTTCAAATGCAATCAACTTGATCACAGATCTAGTGATTGTCCTCTCAAAAAAGTAATCCATGTGGTGGAGCAAGAAGAAAAGGGTAATGAGATTTGTTGTGGTCTAGATAGGGATAATGACGAGTACAAGGATGATGACGATGACCAAAATTATATGGTGAAAAGAATGATGTTGTCCTCAAAACAGAAGGGTAATACTCAACGACAGTAATTATTTCGAACCAGGTGCATTATCACTAACTATTTATTTGTTGTGATAATTGATAATGATAGTATTGAGAATATTATTGGTAAGGATGCTATGAAAAGTTTGATATTTAAATCAAAGAAACATCCTAATCTAGACACTTTTGGCTGGATTAAGACAGCAGAGAAGATTCATATAACAAAATAGTATAAGGTACCTTTTTACATTAGTAAATATAAGGATGGTATATTTTAATATTGTGGATATGGATGCTTGTCATTTGTTATTTGGTAGACCTTGACAATTTAATGTTGCAGCGCAACATGATGGTACAGAAAACACTTATAAATTAGAGAAAGATGGCATAAAATTTACTTTATTGCCAATGAAAGCAAGTGCCAAAACCAAAGTTTCTAAAGTGAAGGGGCGAATTGTCTTTACCTTTATTCATTTAGGGAATCAAATAGAAACTGCTTTTAAGGAGTCAAAGAATGTGCAAGCTTTGATTGTGAAACAAGTATTATCAATTGAAGAGGGTCAGAAAATAATAGAGCATTCAGAAGCAGTCAAACCATTATTAGAAGAATTCAATGAGGTGATGCTAGAAGATTCACCTAATGGATTACCACCTATGAAAGATATTCAGCACCATATTGATATCATTCCTAGTGCTAGATACAATGACAATGCATATGTTGTGGATCTGTTAGACACAATAGAAATTTCTAAAATATTTAAAATGGCGGATATTTACCCATTTCATTCATTAAATGAACCTTTGTATCCAGATATACAAGTTAACTTGAGGTCGAGTTTTTCTCAAGTGGAGGGCACTAACATAGAACGTTTAGTAGATATATTTTAGAGTAAGTTGAGCATCAGAAGCCAAAACAAAAACCCAAAAGTTATAAATGGGCAGATTCATAATTTTAATATTTTCCTTATTTAAGTTAGTAGTCCTACCTAGAAATTATAGGTATAATAGAATTTCTCTTTTATTGAATTTACTTGTATCAAGACTTTAGGATAATTTTGTTCTAATTAGGAATATAACATTTATTTTATTTAAATCTCTTGTTAATTACTCTAGTTGTATTAGACAATCAGAAGTAGAGTTTTGTTATGACTTAGGCCTATAACGCTGTAAATAAGACCCTTAAGCTTAGTTTTTTGAATCATGAAATAATATTATAAATTTCTTTTCTCAAACTTGTGTTTAAGCTTCAATATTTGAACTTGGTTATTAACCTTAACGGTTTAATCAGGTACTATTCTTTGTTTTCATGCTAACCCACTGCATCAATTATTGACTTAACTTTCTACAAAGAATGTTAAGAATGCATTAGGTAATGTGTATTTTGTATTTGTTAACTGTATACTGAAGAAGAAATGGTTTGGGCTTCGTCCTTCGTGGCTTTAATTCCCTTTCTCTGTTTCTATAATAACTCCCTTTTCTATTTTCTCTTATTGATTTTTCTTCTTCTGACACGTTTTACACATTTGAAAGACTCTTTTAGCAATCATGTTATTACCTTATTTCCAATGCACAAGAAATTCAAGATAAACCATTTTTGGTTTAACAATTTTATAGTTGACTACCATTCTGTTCTTAATTAAGTTTGCTACTTGTATTTTAGTAGCATCTTCATGTAAAGCCAATGAGTTAGAGACAAGAATGTATAGCTTTTTGGTATATACAAATTGGTATAGGATTAATCTTCCAGTTGATTCGTCCAAGAAGTGTACGAGGAGAATTATTCCCATCACTGAAAAGATTCCACTAGAATCAATTTATAAAAAGATACGATGTTTCTTCGTAGGTAGCCGTCTCTCCTTGTTTTCTTCGTCAATGACGTCGCTTCATTTGCTCTAACTGCTACAAATATGCGAAAAGCCTTGATTATTTTCATTTTTATTCATCTCACAAAGAAAGGGGGGAGGCCGGGTGCCATGAATGAGAGGTTGAAGGGGGCTGCTCAAGCTGGAAATATTGATGAATTGTATACATTGATTCGGAGGGATGCATATATTTTAGAGCGTGCTGATCAGATGCCTTTTTCTGACACTCCTTTACACATAGCTTCAGCTGCAGGGCACATTGATTTTGTGATGGAGATAATGAATTTAAAGCCATCATTTGCAAGAAAGCTGAATCAAGATGGCTTTAGCCCCATTCACCTGGCCTTGCAACAAGGGCAGACAGAGATGGTGCTTCGTCTATTGGTAATTGATAGAGATCTTGTCCGCGTTAAGGGGAGGGAAGGAAGAACTCCGTTGCATTACGTAGCTAGCGAAGGAACCTCAGTCTTTTGGCTCAATTTCTACTACATTGTCCTCAATGTATTCAAGATGTGACAATCCGAAATGAAACTGCTTTGCACATAGCGGCGGAAAACAATAACTTAGAAGCTCTTCGAGTCATAGTACAGTCACTTAAGAGGACTAACCTTTATGGTAAATCGTCAGAAAAAAAGCTCTTGAATTTCAAGGATAAGGATGGCAACACAGTATTGCACATAGCTGCAACCAACAATCAAGCCCAGGTATAATCTTAAATACCCTAATTTCATTCATTGTATTTTGAGTAGAGGTCTGAGCCTGTGCTAATATAGCAATTCTACCTATTAAGTGCCCTGCATTAATTTCTTTGTGTACACTATTGATCATATAAATAACATCTGTAGCATAACCCTCTCGGCTTAAAAGCAATACACCAGAGACAAACATACCCTGCCACCGTCAACTTGCATCACAAGAGTAAACCCCCATTACATCCTGCGTATAATCCCCGAAAGTCCCCCCAACAATAAACAGAATCCAACACAGTATACAATACAGCCCCTGTCACAGACCTCCCCAATAACCACCAGCAAAAAAAAAAAAAAACCCAAACAAAAGACAGTCCCAGTGCATATTATCATCAATAGTCCAATGCTCCACACACATAGTAGGTAATCCAACACAGCCAGACCCTGATGCACATGTCAACAAAAAAAGCTTCCAGACCTCAACCTGCTGCCCACACAGATGAATTTATATGATCAATACAAAAATTTATAAGTTGTTAATTGTTAAATACAAATATAGCTTAGCTCATAAGACTACAGTTGTTCTATGTCAATTTAATTTGGTTTTATAAATATTATATTGCAGATGGGTCAAACTATTTATAAATGTAAGGTTCGAATAAACAAGATCAATTCAAGGGGTTTGACAGCTCTGGATATCTTAGAAGCATGAGCAATGTTGACAACAGAGAGAGTCTGGAGATTCTACGCGATTTTGGAGGCTTGAAAGCTTCCGCGACTCGTAGACCTCCATACTTACACGTGATGTTAGGATCAAGGATCACACTTCTTGAAAACGCATTTGGTGAAGTGTTTCATGATATTATCACTATGTCAGCTGATAGGAGCAATGCATTGCTAGTAGTTTAGTACTGATTTTAACAGCAACTTACCAGGCCGCTCTCAACCCCCCCGTTCCTTTTCTGGGGCTTCTACGGGCTCTGACTCTGCAATTAACACTTCCACCGATTCCACTGGGGGGAAATCAGCGATGAGATCAACTGGTTTTCTTCTCTTCTACATCCCAAACACCGTAGCTTTTATCATCGCAATGATCCTAACACTTGGCCTTCTTGCAATTGTTGCCAGTGGCTCACTACTCTTCTTCTAGTGCCGCTATTTTTATATTTTTGCCTCCTGATTTCTACATATGATATGTCTCCAGCATCTGGCCGTATTGTTCTTTGGTTTTGTTTCCTTATTAGTTTACCGCGTAGCGCTGAGAGTCATAGACCGAATAAAAAGACTTGGGAAACATTTGATTCAGAAGGAGATACCACTACCTTGATAGTTGAGATATATATACCAGGAAAGTATTTGGTTGAAGCATTAGAAATTCAAGCATCAATGAGATGGATTAAATGGATCACCGGTGACAATTCACCCTGCTTACTTGTCTCTTTTGTTTTGGGGTCCTTGTATTTGGGGATTTTATTTTAATAATTAAGAACTGTTTGACTTCATCCTTGATTGCTCCTGCTATTTCCTTGTATTCAGTATTCTCTATTGATTTTCATTCATTTTGGATAGTAATATGATTGTTTGCCAGACTTCAAAAATAGAATTCATATGTACAATCATACCTACTTTTAGGGATTGATTATTTAATTTTGATAAAAATAATAATTTGGTTGCTAACATTTGTAAGTGTTATTGTTTTGATCACTCAACTGTTAAAAGATAATAAACTTTCACAGTATTCCATGTCAGGTATCTTGTTATCTGGATATGTTCACATTAAAATTAAAATAATTTTTAAAAATTTTAAATTATCTTTTATTTTCCTTTATTTAATTTTTTGTCACGATGACGTGTCCATGTGATAAGAATAATTGACATGTATGGTGTCCACATGGTAATTTCAGTTTGTTGTTTATAGTGACACTTCTTTTTCATGGCTAATTAATGCTATGGGGTCGCTTCTTTGCGCTATTGAGTGATGCTGCTGCTGCTTAGATGATCTTTGTGCTAAGCATGGTTTGCATTGCTGTATATCCTTTACATAAATATCAATGATCACCCTAATTACAAATTTACTGTTCATTGAAGCTCTCTCTCCCTCTCTGATTTGGGTAGGTACTTATATCCATTTATTTGGCTTGTAAGCCTCTCTCTATCTCTTGTTAGATGGTGAAACTTTCATGTTGGAGGTTTACTTCCTTATGTATTGATCTTTTCATGATCAGTTTCCCATAGAATATAAAATAAAATATCACTTTAATTGAAAAAAAATTATTTTTTTCTAATAAATGGCAACAGAGGAGTTCAAGAACATTTAAAAATCAACTTTAAATTAATAAAATAATTAAATAATAAATATATGTACATGCCCCAAGTTCCCAATAATTATAAGGGTAAAAGACATGAAGAATAATAACTCATAGGACCTCAAATAATGTTAAAGCTCTCAATCAGAAAGAAATTGAGTGATTTATATACTAACAATTCAATATGATTATTAATTTATGCAATTGAGTTTGCTTCATTTGCAAATAAAGTAATTCAATACGATTATAATACAAATCTTATTATTAATTAATAAATATAATTGATAAAAATAAATATAAAATGACAGTTTAGAAATATAATCAATAAAGAACTTTAGTCCAAAAAAGTTTATAATGGGTGGTAAATTTAATTAAAAAATGTAACAAATGCATTATTTTCATGAGTTAATTTTTACATATTATTAATCTTTTTATTAAATGTTATTTGGGTTTTAATTTTCATTTAATCATTGCCTACTTGAGTTAAACAATCCAACATAAGTCTTGATCTACTTGAAAAAGAGAGAGTGTTGACTTAAAAGGCTAAAACCGCGTATCATTACCATTTTTGCTCGGAAGTTTCTTTGACAAAGACAGCTTCTTTAGTCAGGCAAGCAATATGTTAGGTACGAGCAGAGTTTGCATAGGGACCCAAGCTTAGTACTTGGAAGAATTACTTGATCTTCCAACGAAATTGGTGGAAGTGATGAAGATCATCAATATTTCATCGATCACATTGACATTCAAGTGTTCCCCGTTGTGCTTTGGGCACAAGAAAATCAAAAAAAAAAAAAGAAAAAAAGAAAAAGAGAAGACTACGTCAAACTTTTACATAAAATATACTAAAACTCCACTTGTTAATTTGATTTTTAAGTAATGATAAAAATTTAAGTGCAAATAAATATTATATTCTTCAAGATCTTCCCCTTGATTCACACAAATATCAAGATTTTTGAATGTTATAAATATGTGAATCCTCAAGTATCTCCAGGATGTTTCTCTTATAAACTTATTCATCTAGTTGGCAATGATTCTCTTGTATCTGTACAGTGGACTATACCCAACCAGGTTCTCTATGCCACTAAAGTCTTCGCCAATCACATTGAAGACTTGTTATGACATTACTAGTTATAGACGAATAAAATTTTCTTTTCGAAAAAAACAAATTCGTTTGATTTATATTTTTATTTTTTATAGAAATTAAAAAATAAAAATAAATAACAAAAAATAAGAAAAATAAAAGTACCAACGAAACAGAAAATATTTAAATCAGTAACTCTTTTACTAATTTTTCATATTTAATTGCTTTTATTTTCATGAATGGAAAAAGTTCTGATTGTCATATGAATATCGGAAAAGTGAGAGAAATTGTCACTTAAATTTGAGGAAGTTAGATGTCTACTGGCCGTCCAAGTAACGGTTGAGGTAGACCGATTAGTCTCACGTGTTTGACCAAATTAGGCAATATTTCTTACCGGGTAATTTCCTGGGACCTTCCAACGGTGCAAGGGATTTCCATTCCTATCAAGAACCCTGACCACTCCCTCTTTATTACTTCTTCTACATTTCCATTATTTATCTTATTTATTATCATTATTTACCTCTTTCTATTCAAACTGTCAATTTCATTATTTATATTATTTATTATCGTTATCACCTCTTTCAATTCAAACAGTAATTGATTGACCAAAAGATAATTATTTGACAAAAGAAGCGTGAAATAAATTACGACATGATATCGCGTAATCTTTTATTAGACACTAAGGAAAAAGTGATAATGACAATTTTGATTTTCCAAATAGTTATCAACTTCTTATTACTGCGTCCCTTCTCATTGAGTACACCAAAGAGTTCGCACATCTCGCTCAGTGATTTACTTCATCATTTCAGGCAACTCCTCTAGGGTAGGGGTATTATATATCGGTTCTGTTTCCTTTCTATATTATTCTTTATTTCCTTATTCTTTAAACTGCTCTAATCTTTTCTTGCAAGTTGCATCGGTCTTCAGTAGCCTGGATATTGCTGCATAATTTATTAATGGATTGGAGGATGATAGTGGCTGCTCGAACAGGAAACATTAACGTCTTGTATGAATTAATCCAGGAAGATCCATATGTTTTGGAGCGTATTGACCAGGTTCCTTTTCTTGATACACCTTTACATTTAGCAGCATGTGCTGGGCATATTGAATTTGTGATGGAAATGACGAACTTAAGGCCATCATTTGCAAGAAAGCTAAACCAAGTTGGGTTTAGCCCCATGCACTTAGCTTTGCAAAATGACAAAACCCAAGCAGTGCTTCGACTCCTAAAGTTTGATAAAGCCCTTGTGCGTGTCAAAGGGAGGGAGGGCCTGACTCCTCTGCACCATGTAGTTGGAACTGGAAACCTTGATCTTTCCATCAGGTTTCTTGAGGCTTGCCCTGAGGCTATTGAAGATGTGACTGTTCGAGATGAGACTGCTTTCCATCTTGCAGTCAAAAACGACATGTTTAAAGCTTTTGAAGTCTTGATGGGGTGGCTCCAAAGGAGCTGCCATGAAGCTGCCCAACGTTGGGAAAACGAACTACTGAGTTGGAGGGACATTGAAGGCAACACTGTTCTGCACATTGCAGCTATCAGAAGTAGACCTCAGGTATGCTAGCTATCTCATTGACTCCAATTAACTTATATGATAAGAGATCTAGTTTTATGAACATTAATTTCGTGCTTTTCCAATTATCAGGTGGTAAAAGTGTTGCTGGAAAATTTGAGTCAAGACCGTATCAATGCCAAAAATTCGGAGGGATTAACGGCTCTAGATATCGTATTAGAACGCCAAAGGAATGAAAGGCAAGTGGATAATAAAGAGATTATGGATATGTTAATCAAAGCCGGAGGTTTGCGTGGTTCCTTGTTTCCAAAAAATCCCAACTCTTCAATCAACATCAATTCATTCAGATCAAAGATGTCATATTTTCAAAAATTTGCAATAATGGCAGCTCGTGGAAAGAAGGGTATCTCAAATGAGATGCGTAACACATTTCTAGTAGTGACCGTGCTAATTATAACAGCCACTTACGATGCCTCATTAAATCCTCCTAAGAAGGGTGACAATCTTTTATCCCAGAAGTACCAAGTCTCTAGTTTTCCCAAATTTTCGCATAAAGAAAATCTTCCTATGGGTGGCCATAATCCTCCGCAGGACTTCACAGATTTAGTAGATGTATCTTCCATGTTTTGGTTATACAACACTTTAACCTTTTGGGTGGCACTGGGGTTAACAGCATATCTCCTCCCAAGTCGCACAATCTGTTTGTTTCTTCTCATAACACTTTCCCTTTTCGGCTCCTGTTACATGCTTTTAGTAGCTGTCGTCTCATGGAAACTGCAATATCTTATTTCCCCTAAATCTTTGCACTTATCGTATCATGCTCTCTCCATCGTTAACTACAGCTTGTCAATGTTAATAGCTGTCCTGGTGGCTTGCCGGATTGCCGGTTATGTTTTCTGCAGATTTGTACCCAGAAGAAAGATTTTTTGCCTCGTACAACTTCTTTCCTTTTTGTGTATTGCTTCTTGCATTGTTACTCCAGCTGTGCTAAATGTCGAATCCATATTAAGGTCTAATTTCTCCTTGTGATCATCATGTAATACTTATGTTCTTCAGCTGTTTGGTTCCTTCGTCTCCTCCGGGCCTCTTGAAGGGGGAGTCTTTTTTTGTATCGAAATTAGCAATGATTTCTTGTTTTGGTTAAGCTCAATTTAAGTTTGTGAAGTTCTATTGCTTGGCTCTGGAAGAATTATCTGGATTTGACCGGGTTCTCTTGATGGAGCTTGGGTGAGGGTTTATGCCCACTCCATGTGTTGATACTCAGCTGATGTTTCACCCATGTATTTTCTGGGTGGAGACATTATCTGTCTCAACTATGTTATTTTTTCTTTACAGGATAGAAGCATGTACTGATCTATTCATAATCAGTTTCTCTCAAAAAATATAAATAAAATTTCACTTTCATTGAGATAAAAAATTATTTTGTTTCAAACAAATGGTAACGGAAGACTTTAAGAATATGTAAAAGTTAACTTTACATCAATAAAATAATTAAATAATAAATATATGCACAGGCCCCAAGTTCCAAATTATAAGGCTAAAAGACATGAAAGATAATAACTTGTGAGACCTCAAATACTGTTAACACTCTCAATTAGAATGAAATTGAGTGATTTATATACTGGCAATTTAATATGATTATTAACAAATGCAATTGAGTTTGCTTCATTTGCATAAAGTACTTCTATATGGTTATAATTCTTTCTCACTTATAATACAAATCTTACTATTAATTGATAATTATAGTTGACAAAAATAAATATATAATGACAGTTTAAATTAAAATATTATGAATAAAGAATTTTCGTCCAAAAAAATTTATAATAGTCGGTAAATTTAATTAAAAAATGTAATAAATATATCATTTTCATGAGTTAACTTTTACATATTATTAATCTTTTTATTAAATGATAATTGGGTTTTAATTTTCATTTAATCATTTCTCTTGTAAAAAACTTCAGCTGCTTGAGTTAAACAATCCAACATAAGTCTTGATCCAAGCGTTGACTTAAAAAGGCTAAAGCGTGTGTCATTACCATTTTTGCTAGGTAGTTTCTTTGACAAAGACAACTCCACCAATCAGGCAAGTAATAGGGTGCGTACAAGCAGATTTGGTCTCACAAAAGCAGAGTGTGTGAGGCTTGCTTGTTTGACCAACTTATGCAATTTTTCGTATTCTGTAATTTCCTTGGACCTCCGAAGGGAGCAGGGGATTTCCATTCCTATCAAGAACCCTGACCACTCTCTCTATTACTTGTTCTACATTTCCATTATTATTGTAAATTGGCTCTCCTGATATGGATGAAAGCTTGAGGAGGGCTGCTCAAGAAGGAAATATTGTTGAATTATATGCATCAATCCGAAGATATGGAGATGTTTTGAAGCACATAGATGAGACGGAGTTTGTTGACACTCCATTACACATAGCTGCAGCTCAAGGGTGCATTGATTTTGCAATGGAGATAATGATCTTAAAGCCCTCGTTAGCTAAGAAGCTAAACCGCGAAGGTTTTAGTCCCATTCACCATGCAGTGGAAAAAGGGCATAAAGAGTTGGCGGTACATCTCATGCAAAATGATAAAAGTCTTGTCCGTGTCAAAGGGAGGAAGGGTGACACTCCTTTGTACTCTGCAATAACTAAAGAACAAAACCTTGATCTCTTGGCCAGATTTGCGGAGGCTTGTCCTGAATGCATTCGAGATATGACAACCACAAACCAGACTGCTTTACACATTGCAACGGAAAGCAATAGATTAGAAGCTCTTCAACTCTTATACCGGATTGCTTAGGAAGAGTGGTGATTGTGGAGATGTGGTGAACCAGAAAGACAGGAATGGCGACACTGCCTTGCACATAGCCGCACGCAATAATCAATCGCAGGTCAGAACTCATCCCTTCTAACTAATTTTACTTTAGTAAAAAAGAATGAATTCTTTAATTTGGGATTGTATTTCATCGTCAATTGATTGTGGCTTTTATTTATGTCTCAAACTCTTAATCAAACAGATTCTCAGACTGCTACTAAATTGCAAGGCTGATAAGTTTGTGACTAATCAGGCTGGTTCAACGGCACTGGCAGTTGCATACGAACTTAATAACAGAGAGAGCATTAATATTCTGCGTGGATGGTCAACTGCAGGAGCTTCAAGCCTTCGATATAAGCTGCGAAAACGAATTTCCAAGATTGTGACAAAGGCATCAGAATTAATTTTTCAAGGTATGGACAGAATATCAAGCGAGGACCGCAATGCCTTACTAGTAATTTTAGGATTGCTTCTAACAGCTACCTACTAAGCCAGTGTTAGCCCGCCTCGTCGTGTTTGGCAAGGTGATCCTTCCTCAAATTCCACTTCCACTGAAGGATATGATCAAAAAGAACCGGGAAAATGGGCCATGAACGAAATTGATTTTCTTATTTTCTATACCAGCCTGCACTGTCTTCATAATATCGTTTTTCCTAACATTGGGCCTTCTTAAACCTTTTCCCTGTGGTTTCAGGACTGCCCTTCAAGTACAACTTGCATTTCTTGCTATATCCTTCAACGAATCAGTGTCTTTCATAGCGCCAACTGATTTAGCGTTTTTTTTTTGGCCAAGCTTAGGTATTGCAATTAAAATAAAAGAATATGAGCAATTGTAGTTAGTTAATATAGGCACACGAGAGGGCTTTAGTACCTGAGCAATATAAAAACAAATATTTTGCTTTAAAAGAAAAAAGTTCAGTAGTAACGATAGGTGGAGTACATGTATTTCTTCTATTACTGTGTGTTTAGTCTTCTGGTAGTTGCTGTGCTAATTATAATAGCCACTCTCCAAGCTTCATTTAGTCCGCCTGGAGGTGTTTTCGCAGGGAAATAACAGTAGTTCATCTACCTCAGAAGCTGTTAGCTCCAATACCCCCAAATTTATTAACTCCACTACAGAAGGAAGTTCAATTTCACAAGCATTACCCTGTCAAGGGGCAACAGTAATGGGAACTCTTCTATAATTATTTTGGGATGAAAGACTAGGGCAATTTCAATCCGACTTTCAAGATAACCTCTTAACGGGGATTTATATCATTTTATAATTATTTTTCATCTCAATTTTACAATTATTAAATTTCAATTATGTTTAAGATATGTACATTTATTAATCACGGAATACTTAATCGATTGAACTAAATTTCTATATATATACACACATGCAAAGATAAGTGTGGAAAATTTACTTTTTTATCTAAAATTCAATATATCCTACAATAATTGAGCTTCTAATATAATATGATTTAAATTGGTAAATTCAATCTAGTTAAATGAATTAAAATGCAAAAGTTAAAGTAAATTAGAAGGCATAAAGGCCGATTGTATAGGATTCCTTTACCCAACCTTTGGAAGTTCTCCAATAAAGAAATGTAAAAGAGATGCTATACATGCTCTGCTTTTCTTAATCTGCACGCCTAGTATCTTTGCCATTGAGCTATGGGGTATGGCTGATACTAGTATTTAAAATAAAAAATAAAGTTTTGCTACAAATCCCTAGAGTACTTTTTACAGTTAATTAATATATTTATTTATAGTAACACTTTTGTTATAAATTCTAATGTATCAGACAAATATTTTACTTAATATTATAATTTTAAAAAGTTTTTTTAAAGTATTAATTGGCAAAATCCGATAAATAATAATATAAAATTTAAAATTAATGGCATTCTTCAACATAATCTTTTTATTTGTAATATATATATATGTATATATAATATATATTTCTTTTTGGAACACATGACATGTTTAATACCACCTTGGTTTAAAAGTACATTAATGTAATGGGCGATGAAAATAGTTTAGGAGATTGCACATCAGCCAAAAGCTAAATTCAAAGCCAACCAATACTTAAATTGTATGCTTGTTGTCGATCTTTATGGAGGCTAAAAGACCCTGACACAGAATCTGAGAATATCTTAGCTTCCAAGATTGTTGCCAAAGAAAGTGAAGAAGACGAACACCCTTTAGCAGTTTATTTGTCAATGCATGGATAACACTGTTGCAGCAGATTTTTCCAGGCATCATGGATTGGGAATTGAGGGAAGCTGCTCGAACAGGAAACATCGACGCCCTATACGAGCAATTTCAAGAAGATCCACACCTTTTGGAGCGCATCGATGCGGTTCCTTTCATTGATACTCCTCTGCACGAAGCTGCAGCTGCAGGGCAAGTTGATTTGGCAGTGGAGATTATGAACTTGAAGCCATCGTTTGCCTCAAAGATTAATCCAGATGGTTTTACCCCATTGCACCTTGCTTTGCAAAAACACCAAACTCAGTTACTATATGAGCTCCTGAAAATCAACAAAGACCTGGTTCGAGTCAAGGGGAAAAAAGGTATGACCCTTCTGCATTACGCAGCTGAACTAGGAGACATTGATCTCTTGGCTAAATTTCTTGTGGCTTGCCCTCAATGCATCAACGATGTGACTGTTGGAGGTAAAACTGCTCTGCATATTGCGGCAGAAAACTACAATGTTGAAGCGCTTGAAGTCCTGGCACGTTGGCTACGAAGGACGCACAACAAAGATGGTGGATTCTGGGAAATTGAAGTCATGAACTGGAAAGACAAGGATGGCAACACAGTCTTGCACGTAGCTGCATCCAACATCCAAAATCAAGCAGAGGCACGATCTCATAATCCTCTCTCATTAAGTATACTAAATAAGTCTAAATATTTTTTCCTTATGTTTACTTAATTTGTCAATAAACAGACATTTCTTTTTTCTTTTTTCTTATATGAATCTATGGAGCAGATGATAAGACTCTTGTTGGAATGTGGAATTCGAAGGAACATAATCAATTTGAGTGGTTTAACGGCTTTTGATGTTTTACAATGCCAAGGGCAAGTCGACAACAGGGAGGCTGTGGACATTCTAAGACAGGCTGGAGGTTTAAATGCTTCCTCAATTCCCAAATCCACACCCATGGCTGAGCTCTTTAGATCAAAGGTTGAATTTTCTGAGAGATTAATGATAATTGTAACTAGGGCCAGACTCAATATACCAAGTGACACACGCAATGCGTTCCTGGTACTAGCCGGGTTAGTAATAACAGCAACCTACCAAGCCATTTTCAACCCGCCCGGTGGTGTTCGACAAGCTGAAGCAGGTTCCACTCATGTTCCGAGTGGAGCAGGTAGATCAGTTATGGATACAAGTAATTTTCTTTGGTTTTATGTTCCAAACACTGCAGCATTTCTCACCACACTTTTCCTTACGGTTCTGTTTCTGATAATTGGTCCCAATGGTGAAGTGGTTCTCTTACCACTGCTGCCATTGGTCATTTGCTATGTCATGTCGACGCTGGTCATAACCCCAACTGCAGAGTTTACTTATTTCATTTGGCTTACTTTGGTGATTGCTGTTGCGTCTGGGTGTTGGTTATTTGGGGCTCATCTATATTGGCTGCTGAAAATAAGGAAGGTTAACAGGAGTTCAGGAGAACTCACCCTCTCAGTGTTATCTTAAGAGGGCTGGAAACATACACGTCCTCTAGCATTGGCCTTTGCATAGATAGATATTTTCAGCATAGAATGTTGAGATGAATTTAAAAATGGTGATTGAATTTATTGTGATTTTTCTAGAGAAATGTTCATCTTCATATCCCTTGTCGCCATCCATGGCATCCTTTCGCTAATTATTTCCATTTTCATCATAATGTAAAATCGTTTAAACTTCAAATGCTTGTTTGCAATTTTGGATTTACATCTTGCTTAGGCTTGGACTAATAGGCTTTTCTTTTCTATTTTTTCTCGCTAAATTTCCCAGTCTAATTTAACTCGTAAAGCTCATAAGATTTTTCAAACACTCATGTGTACTGTAAAGTACTATACAACGTTTACATTTATCAGTGATAGATTTGTACATAATTTTTGTATAATTAAATATTTTAATAATATGAAAAAATCTCATTAACGACCCACTAAGCATGCTCAAATGCATAAAGACAAGCACGTGTATAATAAAAATTTCCAATTCTCTATATTGTCCTTTGTATCAATTGAAGATGGGAGGAGCTGGGAGGGAATTAAGAATCTTAATCCGGATCAGTTGAGTTTTGTCCAGGGCACTCAATGGGACTTTTGAATATCGTACAGTCACAAGTGCTATCCAGCCTTCAATATATATTTTAAAAACCAGGATATAGTAATGAGAGAGAGTTGTCATCTTAGTGCTCTTAATTATTGAAAATTTTATAACGTATGCTACTTTTTTTGCACGAGAACTTCCGTATTCTGCCTCCGGTTGACAAAACAGCAGCCACGTTTTTCCTTGTAAGTTCGTCAAGGTACTGCTATGAATCGTCTGTTTACTCTTTCAATTGCCGTTTCAATTACACTCTAATTAGCCTAAGCCCTCACTACCTATCAATTTATCATTGTTCTAAGCCATCTCATCTCACTGTGTTTACCGGATGGATGGGAGCTGCTCAACTCTTTATTTTTAAGGGAATTTCCTCCATGCTCTCTTAATTACACTTTTCTGTTCTCGGCCTCTCATTGTAATTTCGCTAATCTTGATATGGAAGAAAGTTTGAGGATGGCTGCTCAAGAAGGAAACATCGTTGAATTGTATGCATCAATCCAAAGAGATGGAATTTTTGAGGAAAACTGATGAGATGGAGTTTGTCAACACTCCATTACACGTAGCTGCGGCTCAAGGGTGCATTGACCTTGCAATGGAGATAATGATCTTAAAGGCGTCATTCGCTAGGAAGCTAAACCAACAAGGCTTTAGTCCCATTCACCTCGCAGTGGAAAAGGGACATAAAGAGCTGGCGTTACAACTCATGCAAAATGATAAAAATCTTGTCCGTGTCAAAGGGCAGCAAGGTGAGACTCCTTTCCACTATGCAATAACGAAAAAGCAAAATCTTGATCTCTTAACTAGATTTCTGGAGGCTTGTCCTGAATGCATCCAAGATATGACAACTAAAAACGAGACTCCTTTGCACATTGCAACGGGGAACAATAGATTAGAGGCTTTTGAACTCCTCTGCCTGATGCTTAGGAAGAGTGACTATTGTCAGGATGCGGTGAACCAAAAAAGGCAGGAATGGCGACACTGCCTTGCACATAGCTGCACGTAATAATCAACCCCAGGTCGGATCTCATCCCTCTAACTAATTTTACTTTTACTAAAAACTGAATGGATTCTGTAATTGGTATTGAATTTCATGGTCAATTGATTGTGGCTTTTATTTATGTCTCAATACTCTCAATCAAGAAGATGCTCGAACTGCTATTAAACTGCAAGGCTGATAAGCTTGCTACTAATGAGGCTGGTCCGACGGCACTGGCTATTGCCCACGAACTTAATAACAGAGAGAGCGTTAATATTCTGCGTGGTTGGCTAAGGGCAAGAGTTCAAGAACAAATGTTTAAGACTGTGACAAAGGCATCAGAAGTCATTTTTAAGGGTATGGACAGTATATCAAGCGAGGATCGCAATGCCTCACAAGTAATTTTAGGATTGCTTCTAACAGCTACCTACCAAGCCAGCATTAGCCCGCCTGGTAGTGTTTGGCAAGGTGATGGCTCCTCAAACTCCAATTCCACTGTAGGATATGATCAAAAATTACCGGGTACATCGGTCATGGATGAAGTTGATTTTCTTCAATTTTATATTCCAGGCTATACTGTCTTCATTGCAGCGTATTTCCTAACATTGGGTCTCCTTAAACCTTTCCCCCCTGGTTTCACTACTTCTCTTCAAGTACTACTTGCATTTCTTGCTATATCCTTCGACCAATCAATAACTTTCATATCGCCAACTAATTTAGCATATCTGGTTATATGTACATTCTCAACATTGGTTTTTATTTGTACGATGTTCATGTGTATTGCTTACCTAGTATCAAAAATTAACGTTTTAATTTCAAGATGTTGATTAGTGCCTGATATGAATTATTTTAAAAAAATAAAAAACACAACTAAAGATCAACAACATAAGTTATTTTGTAAGTCTCAAAAGTAAATTTAATTTTTGAAAAGAAAGAGTACAGTTTAGGTTTTGATTTTTTTCATAAAAATTTAAATTATAATTTTTTTATTTTTTAATATTTAAATGTTAATTTATAAATTATTTTTGATCAAGAATTTTTTATCTTATTTTTTATAAATTATAAAAAAATTAATAAATTATTATTACTAATTATCTAAAATTTTAGATAAATAATATATTTGATATAAATTTTTAATAATGGAGTAGTATCATGTGACACTTACTGTTGTATAGATGGGTCCGCCAAAGGATGTCAGCTAGAGCCCTCGTGTCAAGCCTGAAGCTCTAGATGCCTTTATTCCTTAGCTTTTTTGTAGGTTTTTTTTGAACCTTTGATGCCTTTACCCGCTTCAAATTCGAGGAGATTTAAGCAAATTTAAGGGGAGAATGAGAGCACAAAGGAAGTTGAAGCAACTTTATGTTGAAATAATCATGCTACAAAATTGGATAAATTTGCAGATAAAGAAGTATTTAGGACCCCAACACTTTTTTTAAGTCTAATGTTCAATGTAGAGCCAATCCTCATTTTGATATCACTTTTAGCATGGTGTAGGTTCCCTATCAATTTATTAATAAAAAAGTTGATATTGAAAATTGATATGTTGTTAGTTTCGTTGGCAGCTACAGCCGGGTAATAATTGCACATGTGCAATTATTTACGCAACCAAGTTTTTTGTTGTTTTTTTTTTTAAAATTTTTTTATTTTTGAATTGTAATTTGACTAAATTTATTTAATTCTAATTAGATTAGTATATCTTAATTTATATATCTTGTTGAAAACAGTTCCTTCAATGCTCTTGTCTTCGCATCATAGCAACAACAAATCGAAACTAATCTAGCGATGCTCATTTCCATTCTTATGTTTTTTCTTTTCAATTTAGTGTATTGATCGAGTCTACATTCTTGCTTTGCACTGTTGCATGTATTGTGCACATTTCTTATATCTTTACCACTGTCAAGAGCCGTCACAAGAGGGAGTCTCCTTTTTAATTATTATTATTATTATTAAGTGGATGAGTCCGTGTGCCAGAAAGTGGTACAAGACTTAGCCAAAGATGCCCCTTTTCTTGGGAAAGACTAGAAAAGACTACTCCGCCGCCATCCATACGCATCCACCCAAGTAGAAAAGACAACTGAAGCTTAACATTTGGTAATAATTAACGCAAGGGACCATGCCATTTGGATCCATTTCTTCAATAGTGCACTGTTTTCTAGCTTCAGATCTACCATGCACAGCCTTCTATAATCTTTGTAAGTGCACATTGTACCTTAATTGACAAGATGCATTTTACTATCATTAGCTGCACCACACCATAACAACCTCCTTTGATTCTATCGAGGGCTTCCTTGACACTGCGAGGGAGGATATCACTTATCAACAACAACTTGAACTTCCAACCAACCAATCTAGATTCAAATCTACCAATGATAAGCGTCCAAACCTTCGCAACTTTGTCATTTGCACCTAAAGGTAGCCTAAAATAGGACTTAGGGAGGCTCTCCACCTTGGATTGGATTTTTGAAGCCCATGAGTCCAATAACCTTCGTTCAACACCAATAACAAAAATTTTAATTTTATTTTAAGTTGATTCTCGGTCCGAAATCACATGAAATTGCCTTAACACTCTTTTAATATTTAGTAAAAATTTCAAATCAAATTTGCATAAAATAGCTATATCATATTGTAGGTTGGATAGCAGCAAACCATTACGTCCATCTACAATGCCCCCTAAACCACCCATTAGTGGTAGCTTTTTTTTGTGACACTTAGGCATCCACGACAATATTAAACAACATTATAAATAGAGTATTTTTGTCAGAATTCTCTTCTTATTTTATGCTTTTTTTAAGTCTATTATAAAAAAATGGCCCTCATACTATCCTTTCTCATAAGATTAATAATCTCATTAGCTATAAGTGAAATTTTGTAATTTATCTCACTACAAGAAAACTGATTTTTTCTGACGGAAAAAATTCGGTTGTAAATTTCCCACCAAATTTCAACGAAAATTTATTTTAATTTTTTTCAACAGATTTTCGATGGATTTTCAATGGCATTTTTTAGTTGAAAAAATTCCGTTGGAAATCCATCAGAATTTTTTTTAGTGCAAAAAAAAATTACACTCGTCAAACTTTCTAATAGAATTTCCAACAGATTTTCGTTGAAATTTTCTAACGAAAACTAATCCGTTGGAAATCCGTCGAAAAATTTAAGGCCTCAAAAAAATTTACTCTCATCAAACTTTCCAACGGAATATCTAATAGATTTCCAACGAAATTTTCCAAAAGACAATAATCCATTGAAAATCCGTCGAAAAGTTTAGGGGCTAAAAAAAAGTTAAAACTCGCTAAATTTTTTAACGATATTTTCAATCGGAATAATCCATTACCAATGAAATTTTTCTAATAGAATATTTTGTTGGACAATTCTATCGATATTTTTATTTTTAATTATATATATATTAACATTTTTTAAAACTTTTATTAATCCTTTAAGGTAATATATTAATAATATTAAATATGTACACACTGAGATTAATAATATTAAAAATTTAAATATGTCTTTCTTTGTTTATTATTTTTTTATATATTTTGAAAACTTTATTATATCATAAATTATAAATTAATTGCTCAAAATTCATTAATATTATAAAATTAAAAAGTTTATAAATATAACATAATAATTTTTTTTAATTTTATTAAAATATTTGATAAAATCTAGTAATATATTGAACAAAAACTAATAATACTTTATTAGATATGTACTAATATTAGTTAGTATAAATTAAGAAAATAAGAAAATTGATATATATAGTAAATTTATTAATATAATATATTTAAAATATATTAATTTGTTATGTGTATACAAATTATATATATATGTAATTATATATAAACATGTATTAATATGTTTTTTATTTTAAATGATATAACTTTATAAGTTAATATATATATATATATATATGTATGAGATATTAAATATCCTATATATATTGGTATATGTTATGATTATTACACTTATGTTTTATATATAAGCCTATAATAAATTTTATTTATATGATTATAGTTAATAACTTTATTAGTTATTATCTTAGTTTTTATAACATTATAACATATAAATTATTATATGATTACATTTAGTTATTAGTTATACAAACTTTGTAGTAAATATAACATTATTACATATAATTTATGTCATTAATATAAATACAATAAAATATCTAAACAGTTAACTCATTAATTAATACATGATCTCTCTAGTTAAAGAGTATGGATTTAAATCCCCTTACCTCAATTGTGTATATATAAAAAAGAAAGTAAGCCTTCCGCACTAACCCATTAAATCCCTTTCAAAACGCACCGTTTGGTGCTTCAACCCTCTCTAAGTGAAGTGATTTGAGCCTAAATTTACTCTTCCCTCACCACTCTAAAACGTCGTCATTAGGGATCATTAAACCTTGGTATAAAGTATGGATTTGAATCCCCTTCCCTCAATTGTGTATATAAATAAAAGAAAGTAAGCCTTCCACACTAACCCATTAAATCCCTTTCAAAACGCACCGTTTGGTGCTTCAACCCTCTCCAAGTGAAGTGATTTGAGACTAAATTTACTCTTCCCTCACCACTCTAAAACGTCATCATTTAGGGATCATTAAACCTTGGTATAAACCCTTTTTTCCCCTTTATTTTCACCTTTCCTTTCTCTCTCTAGCCGCACCCTTCCTAACTTCCCTCTACTTTTCTTTTTTCTTCCTTCTTTCCTCTATTTTCTTTCTTCTTTTCTACGCTGGTAGCCCTTCTTTTTCCTCCCTATTACCGACATCTCTCCTTTTGCTCTCACCGGCAGCAAACATCCCAAGAAACCCGAATCCCAACCGGTGGTACCTCCCCAAAAACTCTAAACTCCAATCGGTGACACCTTTTTTTCCCTCTCTCTCTTGCTCCAGCGGTGCACCCAAATCCTTACAAATATGCCATTTTTAGTTGAAAATTAACTTCTTTTTTTTGTAAAACTTGAGCAGATATTTGTGTACAGAGCCATATCCAGAAGAAAATTTGGAGTTTTTTCAATCTCATAATATTTGGCTTTTCCAATTTGAGATTAAAGGGAGAATAGTATTTCCCTCTACGCTTTCATTTCTGCTTTAATGGTAATTTACAAAGCTTAAATAAATTAATTTTTTACATATATTTACTATTTTGATTTAGATTCATATACTTATTGAATTTGATTTGTTAAAATTATTTGTTAGTCTAATACAACTTTGTTTTGAAGGATTTTGTAGAATTTTAAATATTTCAACAAGATTTTTAGGTCACTGATTAGTGCAGCATATGGAATTTGGTCAAGAATATATTAATTGTTTAATTTTGGACTTATTAGGTGATAGCAATTTTAGCAACTTGCTGGTCAAGAAGAATGTTCAATGTTGAATATAGATAAATCATTAAGGATTCAAGAAAGTCAATTTTATCTTATCTTAAAATTGAATGAAATTTATTGCCAACTGTGGATGTGATATTTCAATTGTTAATGGTACTTTTGGTTCCCTATAAAGAATTGGGGTTCTTTTTTTTGCTGATGTTTTTGTTTATAATTCTTTATATTCACAAGAGCCTTCTGTTGCTACACTCAAGGATTCCATCAAAGGGGCTATCAAGATCCTAATTGGTACTAAATTCATAAACCATGCAATTGATGTCTTTCAGTTTCACTTCTTTGTTCCTTGCCAGCATGTTTGACTTTTATGAATTTCTAAAAGACTCTTTTTGGTTGTTTGTAGATGTGAGAAATCATCCTGTTTTGATCCATTGCAAATGTGGAAAGGTAAGAGTCCAAATTCAGCTATTACTCGTGCTTAGTAATTGAATGGTAAATCATTGGA